GTTGTTCGTTGCATATATCTTCGATGCATGTGCCAGCATTTTCCTTGTTTGATGTCGGGACCTGATCATCGATCCCTCCCGCGACTTGATGATATTTCGAGGCGTCGCAGTCCTACTCCGTCCGATCTGGCCCAGTGCAAGTAGTCGTTTCGTCTACTCCTTTTAACTAGAACAAAGAATGTCACATTCTCTTCTTGGTGTATTTTACAGGTCATGTGATGTACAAGCAGTTTAGTTCGGTATACTGCACCCCTTTGTGGATTTATTTTTTCTGTTTTTTTTCCATGCTTATTTTTTTTCAAGGAAAGCGGGAGAAACCAGTAGCATTCAGCCGGACGCGCCACCCGCACGGTGCCATGCCCGACTAATGTTGTAGAAATCGGCATATTTCTGCCTGCAACGTGCTTTGGGGGGGGGGATGCCAAGGAATGTTTGTTGTTCGTTCTTTAATACTTCGAAGTATAATTTTTCCTTACGGTATCTATGAGGTCATCATCTAGCTCTTTTCGGCTCTTATCTGTTTGATGCTTTGAGAACGTAGGCACTGCTGCTGTGCCACACAGTGTGCGTCGTAAATTCATAATGAAATGTCCCGTTTATTTGTGTTCGACGCACGCTTCTCTACACAATGAAGTAAAGTGACCGCGTAAAGCAGTAGTCCGCGAGCATGCATCGTTAGATGGACTGCTGCTGCTGTAGCACCCGCCGTGCAAGAGATGTACGCGAGGCGGGCCGAGAGAGGGCACAATTGCTGGTGGTGGTGGTGTTGTTGTCTTCGCCCTCAAAACCGTTGCGGTCTCCGCTCAGTACCTTCTAGCATCCGTACCGATCCAACTGACGTATATTCCTGCCGTGTTATAAGGCCAACTACCCCCACAATTAATTGTACTATTATTAGTTTACACACTTAGGATATCAAGTGTAAACGTTATTCTGCAGGTAAGTTAGTGTGTGACCACGGGAAGAAGGAACACTGGGTAGGTAAAGACAACGGAACCGTTTTAAATAAATGTGAAGCCAACAACAGAAACAACAGCAACAAACAAACAAAAGAAGGACCCGGAAAAATCATTCACAAACAAACGCGAAATATACCGCTGCCTTGTTTGGTCCATATCCCCTCTTCTCCCTCGGCGGGGACATTAAAGAAGGCTCCGATGCCTACATAGGGGTACAACAAAAAACAATTAAATTATTCCGCGCGCGAATTTTCAGCAAAAAAAACACGCTGATTTGGCGCACGTACACAGTTGTTTTGGTGCACGTACTACACAGTTGTCTTGGTGCACGTAAACAATAGAGTTGCCTCGTACATCGCAGGAATGCCACCTCAGACTGTAGTATATGGTGACGTCAGATGGCCTGTCGGAGATCTACCTTCGGGGTGTTGCCACAGATAGAGTCAGTGTCGGATGGATGCTGAACCTTGCTTCAACACAAGGTTGCTCCCCCCCTTGACTCACAACACAACTATCCGTACTCGTCAGCCTCTCCACCAGAGGTTGAACCGGTGTGTATCCACACCACACATCCCAACGGGAACTTGCTCACACGCGAAGCTGGAGACAACCGTCCCATAGTGGCGTCAGCGGCGTTACGTGTGTTGGTAGAGTTCCTGGTGCGTTGGTGGCACTACTTTGTCACTACGATGGGGAACCGAAAGAAGAAGAAAAAATCATCTGAGGAGGTCCAATCTCCCGAAGAATGGGAAGACGGTGAACAACTTGTGGTAGTTCTTTTTTTTCGGGCTTCCCCCAAAAGGTTCGGAAATGGAACCAACGCCATAAAATAGAACAGAAAGAGAGCTTCAATTATCTGCAACTTTTTTCGGTCGCAACCCCGTAGTTGTCGAGATGTGGAGGATTTGGTGGGGTCAAGTACCTTCGGTGGTGATGGTAATAGGCCCATAACTTTTGATCCAGAGCGTTGCGACCCATTTTGAAAGGCTTTTTCGAACGCCGCTGGCGAGGGCTTTCCAACGCATATATATTTGTTTGTCGCTCAATTTTTTGGGGGAGGTGTTTTGTTTTTTTGTCCCGCCCCAAAAATGTGGGACAAGTTCCGGCACTGTATGCGTGCTTTTCTCGTCCGAGCGTTGCCAGAAAACTCTTGTTTCGGTGCTGAACGGATAATCCAATCTCCCCAACCAAGCGGCCAATTCGCTTTGTTAGTGGAAGACCCTCAACTAACTACATTGGCACAGGGGTCGCCTGGAAACCTACGAAATATAGCGACACTCTGCCTCTCTCGTTCCACCGCGCCGGTAGTGCAGGGGCCATGCAAAATGTTCATCTTCTCGCCCGCCACCCCCCTCCTCCTATTCATTTGCTGCAGCTGTTGCCGCTATAATAATTATATTAAATACGGATTTCGCCTGCGACCTGTCAACTAAAACTCCCGCGGGAACAGCACCAGGAAAACAGCTCTCGTACGCATGTGTGGAATGAACACCAACCCTTCGAGGCGCCACCGCCCGCAGCGGTTGGTTTCGAGACTGGGTACTACTTTATCCCAGGGGCGGGGGGTCTAGTCGTCCCGTATTATTTCACACAACCACGTCCTGCGGTTCCAGCACCAATGGAACTACCACAGCAGTGCTAGCCCGCAGCAGTAAAGAAAAAATACAGCTCGGACAGAAAAAGAGGCTCACAACGTTTCGACGAAAAATAAGAAAAAATGGGAAAAAATAACAGCACCTACACTACTAAAGTCAATACCAAAGAACGACGACCCGTACAATAACCGATATGTTTTCATTGTCTCCGAGCCCCTACAGTAGTGGGCCCTAAACAACGCCGGCACGTTCCCGGCGAATCGACCGGCTCTATTCAGAGGGACCGGTATTCACTGTACAGAATGACTCTGGTGATGCCGTCTGTGCCCAGCTACTCAGGGAGGCGTTATTCATCCGGCGTTGTTGAGGGCCCACCACTGCTGTATAGAGTACACGCTGCTGCTGCGGCTGTAGTGACCGCCTCGTTTTAACAGGTGGCGGCACTAGTAACCGCCTTCGGTCCAAGTAACCTCGTAGTCCGACGGAAACTGCTTCCGGCAAAGGTCGGCCACTCGCGGGAGGTTCGCCGGGCCAAACTGCATGCTGTACCTGTTGTTGGTTGTTAACGTTTTTCGTTTCCGGAGAGCAGTCACGAAGGAGGCGGGAAGGGGGTGTCACGCCGTTGACAAGACGATTGCGTAGACGGTTGAATTCCACGTAATACTGCCGTACCGTCCATTGGTGATATGTGGGGCGACTACTACGGTATGTATTTAGGATGCGCGCGTGAACGGCAGCCGCAACCAACGACCGACACAAGATACCCGTGACCACGATTCGTTCCCGTGGTTCCTTCCGCATCGCTCTACTGGTACAGCAGTATGGAGCATCGGGACGTGTTCGTGTGAGTGCGTATGTAGTCGGATCTGTAGACGAGATGACTGTTTCAGGTGCACTGCACATAGGTATGCGTTGGGTAGTACGACCAGAGAATGATTGTGCGGAGCCCCCACGCCAGCTGCTGTCAGCTGGCGTGCGCGTGGCACTCCCCGCTCTTTCCCCCCAACCGGGTGTGAGAGATAACAAGCATCTAAACATCAAGCACTACAGTCTCTACAAAGACAACAAGGGCATACCACTTAGGGTTGACGAATACTCTAGAGTTTCCTTCGAAGGAGCCCCTTTGCGGAGATTATGCCTGGCGACACTCCAGCGAGCGAAGGCGGCGGAACCACGATCGACACGCGCGTGGCGGAGCTGTCCACGAGGCTCGAGGAGCAAAGCAAGGTGCTGTCGGCTGTCATGGAGAAGCTAGGGCAACTTCAGATGTCGCCTGCCAGGGCGGCGGGGGCAGAAGAGGGGGAGGCAAGCGGCGCTGGCAACGCCGCAGGGCGCGGAGGAGCCGCGCCGGGCACACGGTTTGGGGTGCCACCCGGTGGAGTCGGGGGAGTAGGTTCCCCGGGCCACCCATCCGCTGGCCCCCCGCTGGGAAGCAATGCGCAGGCATTTTGGATGCAGGTGGTGATGGACAAGATGTCATCGCTGCTGCAGGCAATAACAGATTGCGGAAGCCGAGGGGGGCCAGGCGGTGCTGGAAGACGCGCCGCATCCTGCGGTGGGATTGTTGGAATCTCGCCGCCAGGCAGCTGCCTATCAGAGCTGCACGCTGTAGCTGGCGTTAGAACAGATGACGCCGCTGGAAGAGAGAGCAGCAGTAGATCGGGCACGGAAGGTGTACCGGTGCGGGCGTTTGACGTCCCTGCAAATGGTGGGTTTGGTGGGTTCCAGACCATCGACTTTCTCTGTACGGTTGGCAGCTCTAGCAAAGGCGCTGCTGGGGGTAGCTTGACTGCCCCGGGCACACGGGACGAGGTGTCAGGAGGTGGAGCCTGGAGGGTAATCCTTCGGGGCCACAAATATGAGCGACCTGTTGGGACCGGCCCAGTTACAAGGCAGCAACGGGGCGGCGGCGTCGGCGGTGGAGTAGCGGGCGGCACAACACACGAGCCTGTTGATCGCGGGAAAAGTACTCGCTCCGGGAGAACTGGAGGATTGCAGTCATGGCGATTCTGGTGAACGTGGAATTGCCGCAGAGGAGCAAGGGCGAGACCGCGAAATCTGCTGTGCTTTTGAACGAGGGCCAACAACAACGCGGCGTTACCGCGGGGCGCTTCTTTCTGGTTGAGTTCGTGAGTGATATTGAATAATTTTGCTTGCGACGAATGATACCGAAAGTTTCTACAGGGGATTCGCGGTTAAGGCGTTTCCATTTTCTGATTTGGTGTTCGTAGAGTGATGGTAGCTTCGCTTACGATGATGCGACCAATGATGTTTTTCGAAAGGGGATTCGCGGTCCGGGCGTTTCCATTCTTGAGTGTGGGTGTTTTGTTGAGCAATTCTTGTTCGTCTTTTTCGATGGTAAAATCCAGGCGTGTTATCGCGGGTGTTTCGTACGACGATGGTAATTCGGCTCCAAAAACCAGCCGCTCTATGATGGGGATTCGCGGTACAGGCGCTTCCATTTCATGATGTCCGCGGGCGATGAAAACTTTGTCTGGGGCAGAATAAAAGGGGTACGCGGGACCAGGCGTACTAAACGAGGGGATGCAGCATAGGCGCTCCCCACAACCGATGAAAGGAAGGGATGCAGCACAGGCGCTCCCGGCAGCCGATGAAAACTTACGCACAAGAGGTAAAGAGTATCTAGCGTGTCGGCTGAAGAGAAGGGGTACACAGGATCCGGTGTATCAAAGGAGGGGATGCAGCACAGGCGCTCCCCGCGGTCGATGAAAACTCACGCACAGGGGTAAAACAGTATCCAGCGTGTCGGCTGACAAAAAGGGGGTACACGGGACCCGGTGTATCAAAAGTTACAGACGCCGGCGCAGGTGAAATTGTGCTGGCGTCAACATGAGGTGGAACTGGGGAGGGGAGGACACAAATGTAGGTGACATTTCCGTTGTTGCTGCTGGTAGGTGTGGACCCATGTACCAGATATATCACCTTGTGTGCGTGAGGTGGAAATGGGGAGGGGAGGACACCGTTATACTGCTGTGGGTGACATTTCCGTTGTTGCTGCAGGTAGGTGTGGACCCATGTACCAGACGTATCCACCTTATTTGAGGGATTCGCAGTAGCAAGGCGTCTCCACAATCTATATCAGTGTTTGTCTTGTAGAAGGGGAGAAGCCCCATGATGAGAATCACTGTGTTTGTCTTGTAGGAGGAAAAGAAGCCTCAGCAATGATAAGTTCTCGATGCAGTATGTAGTCAAGCGTGTTTTCCGCGAGCGTTGAATGAAGGAGGTATTGTGTGTGGCGTACCACTCGCAGCAAAGAGCGAGGGAGGTTATCGCACGACATGATGGACCGCAGTTTTCTTCGAGTGAGGGAGAGCAGCCATATCGACGCGTGCTGTATGACGGTTGAGAATTGGAACTTTGTTTTTTCTGAGAGTCTAAGAGTTGTGTGTGAGCAGGCTGAAGTTTGAATTTCTGAGAGTCGGAGCAAGAGTTGTTGCAAGAAGGCTTATCAGGCTTGATGTGTTTGACAAAACAGCTGTCGCGGGATGATAGCATTTACCACCGACCCCGGGGGCGACGCGATGCGCCGGAATCAAGGGGGAGGGAGGAAGTTAGGTGCTCAGATCATCGATAGTTGTTCGTCGAGCGGGGAGGGCAGTAGGAGTAAATCGCAACAGACTTTTGTTTGGGCTTTGTGGGAGTAAAATCGTGGCAGTGGCTGCAGACTTTTTGGACTTTGTTGGGTACTAGGGAAGAAGGTGATATTGAAACGTGGCGGGAAGGTTACCCGGATCGATGACGTTGTCGGAGTTATCCTGTTTGCGTCTCTATCTTGCTTTTTAGTAGTACCATACTTGGGAGGGAGGGGTTTTGACCCGGTGGCCGGGTTTCCCCTTAGGTTTTTATTGATTTGTTGTTTTTGCGGAAAAAACCTGACTTGAGGTGGCGGAAGCACGCATCCCACAGAAGAAGTGGTTAGTTACTTTAGTGTAAAGAACCAGGGAGGGTGTTCGTGTGAGTGCGTATGTAGTCGGATCTGTAGACGAGATGACTGTTTCAGGTGCACTGCACATAGGTATGCGTTGGGTAGTACGACCAGAGAATGATTGTGCGGAGCCCCCACGCCAGCTGCTGTCAGCTGGCGTGCGCGTGGCACTCCCTGCTCTTTCCCCCCAACCGGGTGTGAGAGATAACAAGCATCTAAACATCAAGCACTACAATCTCTACAAAGACAACAAGGGCATACCACTTAGGGTTGACGAATAGGACGTACCGATCGTGCACGCGTCTACTGTTTTGCCTCCGTCGTCGCGGGGGGGGGCATGAGAAACCCACTAACTTCAAGCTCGATTTCGAGTAAAATACCTTCCAGGCACTCCCCCCCTGCCCGCACCAACTTCACGCACGCTTGCCGCTGTTTCGAGAAACCAGCCTCAAGCAGCAATTGTGTTCCAGTCCGCCCGCAGAAGAAATGGCGGGCAAAAAAATATGCATTTGTATATTCATGCGAGCATCGCCCCAACACCAGACTACTGAGAGTGTTTTGCTCACCCATAGATGAATATGCTCCGTCTCTTGCTGCTGTGCTTGATGCGCCCGCCGCCGGTAATGGTGGCGTCTGCCCCCGCCTCCCGCAAACGCGCCATCGTGGGTTCAGCCGCTTCGATGTGATATGTGGCAGATTGCAGGCCCCGGATCAGAATAGTTGGCTCAGAGCTTTCGTCCGCGCCGCCTGCGCTTCGGGTGCGCGAAAACACAAAAAAAAACGATCGGGTGTAAATAAAAAAGAAACACCACATTGTTTTTTTGTTACTTGCGTGAGCGCGCGGCAAACGGTGACCTCCTTCTCCCGCATATGCCCTACGCCTTGTCCCGGGTACCATGTATTCGGAAACTGGTGCGTTGTCGGCCCGCTGACAGTCCCGCCGCTCGGGGTGCGCTCCCCAAACCTGTCTCCTGTGAAAACCGGAGGGCCTCTGGCCTATTGTAGGCCGGCAGCACTCACCCCACCGGACGCGGATCTCGGCGAACTTCTGGACCGCATCGGCGTCGAGCGTAACGGACGGGAAGCCGCCATGCTCCCCTTTCGTGCTAGCCCCTCCACCACCACCGGACCCCCCCGAGTCCGACCCGCCTTCCTGCTTGTCGGAACCGGCCGCGGAGGTGGCGCCATCGGCCCCACCCTCCCCGCTCATCCTTAAGCGCCCCGAGGCCCAACCGGCAGAGAGACCGGAACCCCTCGCGGAACGTCGCTCGAGCAGCAGCGGTTTCTGCTGCCCCCGAAGCCCGAGCGATGCTGCTGCTAGCGGGGGGTGATGACGGGTGGCGGCGCTGAGAATACTGCGTTGCTTGCTGCTGTTGCTGCCGCCGCCGCCGGCTGTGGTGGAAAAGCACGACAAGAAGAAGGCCGGCGGCGGGGTGCTCCGAGCCGGGAACGTTCCAGAGAACGACGGAAAGGTGAGGAAGTGTCCCGGGGTCCCGAAGGCGCCGCACGCGGCGGTAGCGATCCGGACAGGCCGAGAAACAGGGTTCGCTCCAGCGGGCATCCAGCAACGTGTCGTTGTGGCAAAATATGTGCTATCTTGTGCGCCTGCTGATGAGGTATGTACACCGTGGGGTTTCGACAGGATGGGGTGTTGGGGGAGAGAAAAGGAGAGGGAGGGGAGGGGCCAGGACGGTCATGTGGTCCCCGAAATCGCCCCGCGTCATGTTCCGGTTAACAGTACAGAATCTACCGAGATACAGTATCAAGTAGGAAATATCGGGGATTGAAGGGGGCACCAGAGAAGAATCGAATACTACTGTACGTGTCTCCTTTCCAGCGTTGACCCCCCCCAAGGTGGGACGCGATATGCACGGAGACCCCCCAAGCCCCAGACTGCACGGTTTGTTTGTTTGCTGTGCCAAACCAGGTATGTCATGGGTTGATTGGATATCCCGGCTAACCAAGTGTTTCATGTTCGGCAGGTACGACTATACTTCACGTACTTCGAGGGACTTCAATCTTTGTGTACAGGCGTACAAGTACAACACAGGCGCGCCTTATAGCGAACACATGAACACATGCTTTACCCTAACCCTAACCCTAACGTGGAAAACGTTCGAAGATGTGTTTCATTCAAGTAATTTTTGCTCTAGAGCGGGGGGGATCTAAAGAACTAAATATGGGGTGCAGAGTAACTGCAGTACTTCCTTTCCTTGTGCGGGGCCTAGACATGCATATATGCATATGCATAGAACCCCGTAACTGCGGTGTGACGACATGATGCCATGTTTGTCGCAGTGGTGGAACGTGCTACATGTGTACTCTGCAGATATGGAGCTACACAGATGTTTGTGCAACGATGTACCAACGACGCGAAAAAAGGAGAGATTTCGAGCAAATGTCACACCACCGGCGATAGCACCACCACTCACCCGAGAGCCTGCCGCAGCGCGCTACACACCACAGCACCGGTACACGCACGCACCACGCTGATAATGTACCATCCCGACATCAATAAACACAGGAACTTCAATGGTACCGAACGTATGACACTCCGGCGCCCCCCCCCCCCCCCCCCCCCTTTTTTTTAAAAAAATTTTTTTTTTTTTTATA